AGCATGGCTGGCTGGGGAATTCTGGGAGTTGAAGTCCACCTATCTTAAAGTTGCCAAGGTTGAGAAACACTGGTTTACACTATACATCTCCAGATTCTTCCATCTTTACAAACTCTCCTTGCTACCACTATATCCATGCACTATATTTGTTCTTCAAATTTCTCATTTATTTCTCTTTGAGGATCTCATGAACACCATCCAAACAGAATTTTATTCATCTTCCCCTTTCTTTTCCTTTATATATTTCTTTTGTGATTTGATGTTCGTTCATTCTATATCTTCAAACTATCTCAAACTACTTCCTTCATACTGATTATTCCTATATTCAGTCTACATTTATTCAGCACCCATTAATCTTGAGGCTTCTTGTTTTATCACATGCACTGTCTTTAGTAACCTTCTGATTGTATTGCAAATATTATAGGAAATACTTCCAAGCTGTTTGTCACTGAAATTCAGTGATTCCATTTGCTGAAATGTAGTAGGAAGTTCCAACATAGTTGATTTTTGGTGGCAAATGGGCAGATTTTCAAGAACCACACCAAAGCCTCAGGAAGGGCGTGCCTGGCCTAGGGATTACCTGCCTTTGCTCTGTATTTAACATCTTGCATAGTTCCATATACGAAGAAGACAGTTGCAGATCAAAATCACTTTCCACCAATTCTAAAGGCTTTGTTCAGTAGCAGTTGATGCTAGCAAACTATGCTATGTCAATGCCACTTGCTTAAAGTGTCATTCCAAGAAAAAAAATCCACACTGCACATAGAAACAGTAATTACATACACACTTGGGACAGCCATGGCACAAAGGCTCAGCATAATTTGGATACGCTCACTTTCTTGCTTGTCAGATCAAGGGTTGGATGGGCCTAGATAGCTATCTGAGCACAATTCCTCACATTTCACTATAGTAGCTTGATGTTGTTATTTTTAGCTGGGGTACAAAAATCAGTGTGGGTTGAAGATTGTCTATCATTCAGGACAAAGTGTATTGATACTTGGAGATGTACAGTATACTTAAAGAGGCTTAACAATGTGGCTAGGCTAGGAAGTTAAGAGGGTGTGCTGTTTACCATGAGACTGCAGCAATAGCTGTTTCCAAGTAGAAGGCATAATTTGATCCCACATTGATCATGTAATTACTGCAACATGTATGGGAGGTAAGGGGTTTGCACAACATGAGGAAACTGCTTTGTTTTGAACATTGAACAAAACCACTGTGTTCAGGGGTTCTGCCTAAACCATTTAGGGCCAACCATGCTTTGGCTGAATGGACCCTAAACTGTTTTGGTTCCAGGTTTCTGAGAAAACAAAATCCAGAAAGGGTGAGTAAGCAAGGCACCAGCACATTGCATCACTCCCTTCCCTTCTCCCATCCCTTCAGCAGCCTCCAGGGTGGCTTATCCCATCATCTTACCTGCCCGTGAAGTTCCCAGCACCTTCTGCCCCTCTTCAGTCACTGTCACCAATGTCAAAGTGCAGCACATACCAACTGCTGCCCGTTTTGTCTCTCTGCTGCCTTGGATCTTGGCTTTTCCCCCACACACCCCCTCCAAACCATTTCTGACCAGAACAACACAGCCCCATTTCCTTCTATGCACAGACCCAAACATGCCAGTTTCTATTCAGGCACACAGACCACCCAAAACCAGCTCTTCTGTACACGGTTTGTGCATGGAACGTTTTGCACATTCCTAGTTGGAAATAATTAGTATCCATTTTCATCAGATATGTCAGAAGTTGTTGCAGGACAATTCCTATCAGCCCTAGTCACTGTGATCAGTGGGGTGACTTGCTGAAAGTTGCATTTGAACAGCATCTGGATTTATACCTTGGACAGTTACTCAATGAAATCTTTGCAGCTGTGCCTGAATTAAATTTGCAGAAGCAAATGCTACAGCACAGACTGAACAAACAGCTAAGTATCTGGCACTCAAGCAGAGTAAGGCCAAGACCCACTAGTTCCCCACCTTCTATGGCTCTCACGATCTGTTGTCCAAACCCACTGCTTCCTTGTACCTAAGGGGGTTCTCAAGAGTAACTGGCGCTCTCTCTTGCTGTGAAGGTGTTCTCAGTGCAGTCAATTTGACATTGGCCTGGGCCTGCTTACCAAGGGAACTGGTGCAGTCACTTCACAATGCATTGCACTGAAGACCCCGTCTGGCTCTCCAGAGGGTGAATGGGGATGTGACCACCAGCAGGGAAAAGGAGCGCGGTTTTCTCTCTGTGTGCATTACACTGTGGACACTCAACAAAGACCCTCCCCCCCACCAGCCACCACTTTTGTTGATATTTGCAAGCCATGCGCTCTGCCCTCAGCAGAACGATTTCAGAGCCCCAGTGAAAGTTAGTACTGCAGTAGCTAACTCCTACACACCTTTCAAAGCTATAATCAGCACTGTTACACACTGATACTATTTCCTCCCACCAAAAGGAATATATAAAGAATCACACCATCAGTTTCCCTTGCATATTATGGCAGCCTACATTTAATTACCTATTAAGTCTTGCATAAGATACTGAAACTTAGGACCAATTGATACAGAAATGCTATTTGCTTCCTTGGGTAGGAGGCGGAGAGCATTTGGCAAAATGTGCACAATGTTTCTTCATGCCATTGTACAACTGTCATTTCTAAGATCCTTTTACTATCACCCCTTCACACACTCATTCTTCCTCTAGAATTTATTTGAGGAAATGGACAAGGACATTTTCCCTGCAAGACTCCTGTGCTTATGGCTTTTATATTACAACAGCTTTCTCTAAATTGGTATCCTCCAGATGTGTTGTTGAGACTGTGACCCTCAGGATACACAGCCTGCAAGGAATTCCAAACACCTTTGGAAGTGGAAAGTTTGTCATAAAGGTAAGACACCCTCGATTTTTATTTATTTGTAGCATTTGCAATCCAACCTGAAGGACTGGGAACGGAGTACCACAGATTAAAATTACATTATAAATTCAAACCAGAAACAGATTCCAAATAGAGGAACCATGTTGGATAGCCATGATTATCAACTGGGACTAAACACTTAGTGATTTTACTTGTTTATGAAATGTAAGAAAGGTAAAAGTTGGGAGTATCTCTGGGATCCTAGACCAGACAGGCAGATTCCATTCTCAGAAAGTTACCTAACATCTCCCAGTGCTGAACCCAAAAAGGTTGAAAGGTAACAACCAATATTTGGAATTGCAGCTGGGAGCTTACTGGTAACCAGTGCGATAACTTCAGAATTCAGGTGTTATTCTACACTGGTGGGGTTGTCCTACCACCAATCTGGCTGCCGCATTTTGTACCAGCGGCAGCTTTTGAATAGCTCCCCAGACAGTGCATGGCCATCATCCAGCCAAGTAGTGACCAAGCCATGAGTTACTGACCACCAGGATATTCTAGTCCAGGTAAGGTTGAAACTGGAATTTGGCTTCCGGCTAAACAGGAGCTGTGAATTCCTGAGGATCACGGACCACCAGATTACCGCACAAGGTACCACCTTGCTCATCACTGTCCATCTAGCATCCAATTCAGAATAGATACAGTACAAGCTTTCAAACCAATAACTTCCAGTCTCAAGCCTGAAGTAGGAGAGTGGTGTGAAAAGCCTACAGCGCCTTCCAGTTGACATACTGTAGCTGTTGCTTCAATCAAATTGTAGCAGCATGGTGGCTGGGGAATTCTGGGAGTTGAAGTCCACACTTCTTAAAGTTGCTGAGGTTGAGAAACACTGGACTAGTCTTCTGTCAGGGGTTGGGTATTCTCTTCATAAATGCTTGTTTCCCACTATGTGCTCTGCAACTTAATTTCTGTTTCACTGTAAATAATTTGTTTCACTGTAAATAATTTTATTTGCATAAGAGAATGTATTAGCACCCATGGCTTTTAATCTTAAGTCTATTTACTCTATGTATGAGCATGTAAGAGGCAGTCAAGTCTCAATAAACTACTTGTTTCAAAAGAGAGCTTTGTGTACTCAATCACTCAACTGACAGGGCACCAAGTAGCACAATACCATATTATTTGGTCAGGAGTCTAAATAGGTCATAGTGGGAACATCCAATAGTAATAATAATCAGCAGAGGTATCTAAAATCCTAGAAGAGAAGTAGCACCTGATGCAAAAAATTAAACACATGGGCACTCAATGAGCAATTTGGGAGCGGCTATTTCATATACAAGCTGCACAACTGAGGAGGCCTCCTCCTATCTCCTATTTTCATTCAGTGGAGGCAGACTGAGAAAGGATCAAAAGATTATCTAGAAGGTACATTTAGTGAGCGATACTCTTTTAGATAAGACTGAATTCAATCCGTTCATAGCCCTAAAAATCACTGTCAATCCTTTGAACTGAATCCAGAAATGGAGGGAGACCTAACGAAGCACTACTCCCATGCAGCCAGTAACTTAATTGTCTGTCAGGGCCCAGCTAGAAACATCATCTTGCCCAGAAGCTGAGCCTGCCAATGAAGCTGCTAACCCAGGAACCAGATAAGAAAGAACAGATGTTCCTGACCTCAATATGAAGGATCCTGACCTGGAACTGAAGGGAAAACTGATGCCCCAATGTATGGAGGATCAGACTATAGGAAGATGAAGGAGTAGCCACTCATGGGGACAATGCCTGATTGGAAATTCTGATTCCAACAATCAGGGCGGCTCAGCTTCACTTGCACCTAAGTGGGGAGTAAAGAGATATTAAAGTCCATTCAGAGGAGAGATTCTCTACTGCAGTGCTTCTCAACCTCAGCAATGTTAAGATGTATGGACTTCAACACCCAGAATTCCCCAGCCAGCCATGCTGGCTAGGGAATACTGGGAGTTGAAGTCCATACAACTTAAAGTTGCTGAGATTGAAAAACACTGCTCTACTGGAATAAGTTCTGCAACAGTGTCCCTTGAAGCTGTATGCTGTGCAAACTATGAATTCCTGACTCCCAGACTGGACTTGACATCTACAGATGACTCCTCCTTGGAACTTGAGCATTGTACTTGGATTCCTTATTGGGGTTTTGATTGTGGGCCAGTTCAGATACTGCTGTTGCCTGACCCCTTGCAAGCAAGACAAAGGGCTTAAGCATGATTTACAGCTTTACAAGCAAGTCCAACTCTTAACTCCTGTTTATTGGTTTGCTGACTTTTGACCAAAGCCTAGTTAGCCTGTGAATTGGACCAATTCAGGATTATCTTAAGTTTCTGAATCATTTTCAGAGATGGCCCAGATATAAACCATTGCAGCTTACCTGAACTTGGATAACTAAAGAGCATTCCCTATTACATAGAAGATGGAATTGCTTAAAAGGTCTATCTAGCCTCCACTACAAAGATCTCCTGGGAGTACTCTCATGCTACATCTGATCCTTCAGGTGAAATGCACACCCTTCTCCCCAACCTTCATGTAGACTAATATCACTTTTCCCAGGATGAACTCAAAAACTGGCTCTGTACATTTTGCTACTGTTTTATAACTGTTTCTAGATTTGGTGTTTTAAGTCAAAAGGTGGAAGTATAAACGAATGTACTGTATCCAAGTACTCCTTAAAAACACACGCACACACAAAGCCAGACAGCCCGAATCACCAGAAAGCAATCAGCTCTTTCGTTTCACTTGTGATAAGATCATCCACAAGCTAAGATGCAAGATCAGAACTGACTTTAGAAGCCACAAGATGTCTTTCAAACCTCCAATGGGTCGTGTATCCAGTAAGGACTATGGGAGTAGCCAGATTAGCTGTTCTATAAATGCAGTAAACCAGATCTCACTGCCTACAGAAAGAATAAGCAGGATCACATATCTGGTCTTTCTATATACAATTGGTTTGTGTGTCTGTGGGGAGACACCAATACGCAATTTATAAGAACACCATTTGTGCAAAAACATAGAACTTCTTGTGGAGATGAGAAAAGTAATTTTGTTTTACAAGAAATGTACTGTGTGTTCCACTGCTAGAGGCAGGTACAAACTAGGTCCATGTTCCCAGCAACATAAAGATAACATATTCCAAGAGAAAATGCAAATGTTTGTCATCTAGAGGACTGAGAAGCCAAAAATGCATATCCGGATGGATGGCACCACTAGACTGTTTGGGCTCAGGACCCCCTGCTACAAATGAATTTGCTTTGGGTGTAGACACACATATTCCCCCTTTTCTGTAATATCACTATTCTCTGAAATGGGTGGCCCTTTCCAGGGAAATTCACTTCATTGTAAAAGATGGAAGCATTTTTTTTTCATTATCGGAATGGGATATTTTATTATTGATTGAAACAACAGAAAGGGTGTTGGATTGAGAGAGAGAGAGAGAGAGAGAGAGAGAGAGAGAGATTTTAAAATTTACAGTAAAAATGTTTAAAACCTTGCATCTTTAAAACCATGGAAGTGTTTAAAATTCTGTAATATAGTTCAACCGTACCAAATCAAAACAGAAAGTAGAACAGCACAGCTTTAATCAGAAGCTTTAGCAAAAGGTAGCTTAAACTAGTATCAAAAGCTTGCAAGGCTGGTCATTAACCAGGACTGAAAAGGGATAAGTTTGACAAGGAGGCTGTTTTTATCAAATGCAGCATGCTGAAGATCTTAATTGATAAATACCCACATAAGGGAGAATTTCCTGTTAGATACCAAGATCTTAAACCTTGGATGTCAATAGTGTACTGTAACAGCTTGCTGGCAAACTGGCATCCAATATAGTACATATAACATACTCCTGTTTGTCTTCTTCAGCAGATTGTATTAATATGGTGTAATGGTATGTGGGGATGAACTTGGGAGACAGGAGGAAGAGCTGCAGACTGGGCCACGGTCAGATAAGAGGCAGCTGAGCCTGCAGAAGGAATGGGGGCATGGCAAACATCTCAGAAGGGACCCTTCCTAGTTTCTTGGATTGTAAAGGCGAGTGGGAAAAAGATGTACTTTCTGACTTGCAAGACTGACGTCAGCCCTTCGAGGTAATCCAGACAAGCAGCACACCCAGGAGTATTAGCTCTATACTATAAGGTTACATTAACAGAATCTTGTAGCTACCTGTCATTAATTTGAACGTAAAGTGCTGTTTGGCTGACTTTGGGGTATTACAAGACGTTATATACAGCTTTTAGACATCTAAATTGAAGTCTCAAGTTTTTCTGGGAGGAAATTCACCCAGAACCTAATATCAAGAAAAAGTAATAACCCCTAGATACTGAATCCAATCCTGGATTCTTTGTCTATGTCTGTTTGCAAAATGTACTTCACCTTACTCTATTCGCTGGATTTACAGAATTTCAAACACACTAAGATACACACCAACAAAATTTAACAAAACCCTGAGCAAAGTTAACACTAGCCAGATTTCCTACACTGTAGAAAAGGAAGTCTAGATGGTTAACTTGCCTGATTATAAACATGTTGGATGAAGAGAGCCATTTGTTATTATTTCCAGAAACTCCGGTCCGTTTAATCTTTTTCCAGGGGGTTTCCACGGAGAGAAAATACAATATGCCCATGTTTCTTAGCTACAGACAACCTTGATTATCTGACTGAATCTTGGTTCTTGTGGCTACCTCCACCTGGTTGTATCGCAGGTAGCCATCTGGAGAAGACAAAGGATGCAAGAAATCCCTTCCTTGGTCCTCTGGCTCCCTTCAGATTAGGCCTCTCCACTGTTTTCATCATCAGAGAAGAAAAACAAATGTAACCAAATCTGGCTTAGCTCTTACGCATATCAAACATGCACAAACCACCATCATCTCTACAGGTCAGGAGGGTGGGGATCAGCTGCGCTTGAAAGCCCAAGGGCTGCCCTGTAGATTGCGCAATGGGCCAGCCCTAATATCGGGGAAGGCCTAATGTCCAACTCAGGCACTTGATTTGAGTTGACTTGGTTTTTTATTTGGTTGGCTTTTTTTCTAGGAAGATTGCAAGAAATAAAGAGTACAAAGGTAGGGAAAATGAACAATGAACGAGGCAATGATGAAGTACTAAAGTTGATTAATAAACAGCAAAAGCTAAACCAAGAAATAGAAGAGAAAGGGAAAAAATCTTAAAATTAAAAAAACCCAACCAAACCAAAACCTAAGAGATATCAATACAAAACATCTAAATATATATTTAAGCATATAGAAATCTCTGGTTTACAAGAAATACCTTATAACAGTGTTGTCCAAACTTGGCCAGTTTAAGATGTGGACTTCAACTCCCAGAATTCCCCAGCCAG